AGCGGCAAGAAATGCGCGGACGCGAACTGGATGCGTAATCACTTGGATGTGCGATTTTTTCGTGTGGGATTCTGGAAATACTGTATATTAAAAAAATATCTCTTGCGCACTCTGTAACTTAAAACGCACGCATAATCTTGATTCAAGATCAGCAGACACGATTTGTCAACGTTCAACAAAGCAGTCAGGGCCGCCTGCCTACATTACCGAAAGTAAACACGCGTACTTGTCCAAGGACAACTATTGTAAGTAGCACCGGAATAGCATTGTAACGTACCTAGCTTGTTGCTAATTTGTGCATGGTAGGTTACTATTGTGTATGAGAAATTTTTATCTGTAAAAACTGAGTGTAGACATATACACTCTAATTGTTGTTATTGTTCAGTCAACCGAAATGCATATAAAGTAAACTTTTAAGTAACTAGCACCGGACTCCAGTCATAACCTTATGTAGTTACTTAAAAGTATACTTTATACTCATTTCAGTTCACAGAGCAATAACAATAGTTTCTACTGATAAAAAAATCACTTATCTCATGAAGTTGGGTGTCAAAATTTAAAATCTTTACAGTGCCATTAGAAGGAAATTAATTTAAAGTAATCACGGTCCACAATATAGAATGACAAATATCGAGTTCGTACTTGTCGCAGTAAATTTCTCTGGCGCTACACGGTGCCTTTCCTTAACCTGACGGCCTGCACGACAGCCTAACATAAGAGCGGGTGCCGTGCCAGCGGGCGGCAGTGGGCGACGGCCCCCGCGGCAGCCCCGGTGGCAGCGAGGGGCCGATATAAGGTCAAATCGGATTAACTTGGGATTCCGAGCGGTGCTAGCTAGCCTGCACCGCCGCCGGCCCGCTGGAGAGCCGAGGAAGGAATATAGGAAAAGGGCACGACGAGCTCATTGGGCGTGTTGCCAGACGGCTGCCCTTCCTCTCTCCCTCTCGCTCTTCCCCCTCTCTCGCTCGCTCCCTTTCGTCTAGGGAATCAGCTGATTTTCACTGCCCCGCCCCCTCATGCTCTGCCCAGTGCCCCGTATTCAAAGGGCACAATAATTTCACGGAACAATGGGACGTCGGCTTTAATTGAAAACTGCCATCCCAGCAGGCATCATCATCATCATCATAATCATCATCCTAAGCTTAATTGTCATCATCATCATTCATAGCTTTATAATCATCATCATCAACAACAACATTTTCTATAAATGACTTTATCAACTATTTACTGACTGGTTTGTTGGAAAGAGGAGGGGCGCGGGGCGCACATAAGGGGACAAATGTGCCGCTTCGTGCCCTGTTTATTGTCATGGAAACGCCGCCGAGGGAGGGAAAGTTTAATTAAATGACCCGCTGTTCGCCGTCCGGATCCGTCCGGATCTTGCACGCGTCGAGCATTGTTAGGCGGTGCGAAGACGGTCGTATCAGATCTCGGCTTCTTCCATCTCCTCCCCCTTACCTCCCTTCCATCCCTCCCTTTCTCTTCGTACCCATCCCACAGAATTTAATATTTAACGAGCAGTGGGACGACAATATTACAGTATCAGCAGCTTAGTCGGTTGTGCTAACCGGGCCTCGCTTTCAGATTAACCCGAGCTAATAAGTAGTCAGTACTGTTCTTTGTTTTTTCTCGATTTTCTCACGAGTTTCTGGAAAAGCCGTTCCTCTAATTAACGCTGTGATTGTGCTTGGCTAGAAGCCTATTTGGGTGTGTTTGTGCAAAGGAGACAGCACTACTCTGTGACTCGTCCCTCCTTTTCCCTCTTTGTTCCTTTCTCAGTTCCTTCCTCTCTTTTGCCCCCCCCCCCCCTCCTCTCCCTCTCACACTTGCACACATACTCTTGCTCAGCTCTCTTTGTCGCACTCAACAACTGTGGGACAGAGGAAAGGGAAGGAGAGAAGTTTGCAGGGATCGCACGCTACGCCACGCTACGCTACGCCACGCCAAAGTGACTAAGTGCGATTTCGTATTCTCCACAGCGCTGGAGGCTGGCGCTCGGTGAAGGGACGTGTGGGGGAGGGAGACGGAAGGAGAGAGAGAGAGAGGGTTGTCGTTACAGGAGAGACAAATTGCAAGGCAATCCTCTCCTCTGGTGGGCCGCGCGCTGGCCGGGCTGTCTGGTCGATATACCTTATCTTCGAACTTCTACCTCTCCTCCGTCTGTAGCCCCCCCCCCCCCCCCACCTTGACTCCGGCACATTTCTCTCCCAGACTCGCCGTTCGCCTTTTGGACCCGGGCAATTTTTGATGTAGGGCGCAAACGTGCTCGGTACGTGCCTGCCTCGCGCACCTGTCCATTGTCTGTCTAACGGGGTGAGAATGCCTCCCCTTCTCTACCTCCCACCTCCCAAACCCCCTCCAACCACCAGCCAGCACAGCAGCTCGCGGGAGCAGCGCCTCTGGCACGTTCCATCAGCCTGCGATTTTCTAGAGACTGAAAATAATTGAAACAAAAATATTGTTTCCTAAGAACTTGACTACAATTGCTTTAGTTTATTTTATTTATTTTGTAACTGGAACTCTAACTGTTATTTATTTATTTTATTTTTGGTCCCACTGCGCCTTCTGTTTGCCTATAAGACGAGCTCAGGCCGAGAATGGAGATGCGGCGGCGGGTGGATTTTGTTATTTCGTCGGCAGTTTTAGGCCCTATAAGAGGGGTGGGCCAAAGTGCGAGCGGAAGAGTTTAGTCGTGCTCGGAGCCGTAATGCCACGGCAAGCAGAGGGCAGCGCGGCGAGTAAATATTCTAATCTCGATGCGATGGGGACGAACGAAGAGTGGGAGGCGGTGGGAGGGGGAGAGGGAGGGGGGACCGGGCGGAGTGGCATGCAGATGACAGTTATGGCGTGCCCAGGGCCACGACAGCCGCGTGCGGAACTGACCCGGCAAGCTTTAGCCATTATTGCCTGGCCGAGACGTCACAGCACACGTCACACATCACGTCACGCGACGGGGAGCTACGTTTGACGCCTCCCCGTTTATTATTGGCACATCTCTCTATATGGAGAGGAGGAGGGGGTGCGATAAAGGCAACTGAGACAGCTCTCCAAAGCCTTTCACTGCGGCAGGGATGGAATAAATGTGGTGCATAGGGCCAGTGTGCGCTTCATCCCCTCGTCTCTCACTTTCTCCCTTTGTCAGCCTCTTTCTGTCTCTGTCTCCCTCGCTGTCTCCCCCTCCCCCGCTCTCGTCTAGTTTTTAAATGTTACTCCTCTCTATCTCGCCTACCCACACCCCCTCCGATGTGCGAGACGGGTACGTGGAGCCCCAAGGGAAACCCTAAAGGGGGTGCGGCTCAAAGCGCACCTCCTGCCCGGAAGCGATAAAGTATTTCTGTCTGAAGGAAAAGTCTCTTTCTCTTTCTTTTTTTGCGAGGAAAGCCACCAGAGAGTGCGGCAAAGAGAGAGGGGTGTTGGGTAGAGGTGAACGCTGGAGGTGGCAACGGATGCTGTCATCTCGTAAACGTTTTCTACATGAGAAGGAGAGAGGCTGACTTAGAGGGGAAAGAGACAGGAAGAGAGACAGACAGAAACACAGAAGATGGGGAAGGGGACGGGAGGAGGAGGAAAACCGAGCAGCAGGCTATGCATCTGCTGACATGTCACCGAGGGAAACACACCCCAGAGTGGCTTGGGCTTGGCAATACAGCAGCCGCCTGCCAGCACTCTGCGCTGCAGCAGCGAGAGAGTCTAGTCGGGGAGGTGGGAGGAGGGCTGATGGAGGAGAGAGCGAGTGCTCTAATAAAAGCTTAGAGAGTAAAACCTGTAATACTGTAAACCAAACTGTAAATTTCACTGTTTCGGCGAAGTGCCGTTCTTGTTGTCCGTAATCAGTTTAAGTGCGTCGGGTTGCACTGTTTGGCGACGGTAAAATTTATCGTGAGCTTTGTAACAGTGTGAGCTGCCGGACCGAGTCGGGGCGCTGCTGCGGCCAGTCAGGGTGGCTTGAGGCGGCTTGAGGTATTTCTCAAGACCCTCCCTGCTGCTGCGGGCTCCGCCCCGCCCCCCGCCATTCAGGGCGAGTGATTATTTTCTCTGAGAGTGTGTCAGGAGGTGGCGGGGCGGGGCGTCGAGGGGCGTGGCGGGGTGAGACGGGGCGGGGCGGGGGCGTTGGGCGCGCGCTGCTGGGCCGCGGAGCAGAGCGGAACGTATAATCTGGAACGTGAGTCGAGTTGTGAGAATGATATTCCCCAGGCGGGGCGCGCACGCGTCCGGAACACCGCCCGTCTCTCTCCCATTCGCCCTCTCTCTCTTTCTTTCTCTCTTTCTCTCTCTCGCGCTCGCTCTCTCGCTCCGCCTCCCTCTCTCTCTCTCTCTCTCTCTCCCCTCTCACCGCGTTCCGATCCTATCTCGGGGGGCAATGGGCTGGACCGGGGGCTGCAGACGGCTGGGATCTGAAGTCATCGCGCGGATCGTGCCCGGATCCCTTTACCGGGTCCTTGCTGAGGCCCCCCCTTAAACTGCAGCTGGAATTAGTACTTCGGCGCGACTGACAAACCCGTTTACTGGTTCTGCTTCCGCCGCCGCGCCCGCCTCTTCCTCTGGCCGTGCGGCGCGGCGGGGTGTCGGGCTACTGATGTAATTTACATGTAGTCCCCAGGGTAGTTAAAGTCTCCCACCATTCCTCCTGTACCTGTCTCTCCCCTTCCCCCCTCCCCCACCCCAGCTCCCAACTCCCTAACCCTCTCTTCCTCGTCCAGCCGGGCCCCGCCCTCCAGCAACCGCTGTGGTTTAACAGTCTACGTCCTACAGCACATTTCACTCGCTCTCGGCTCGCCCTTCCCTTCCCTTTTCTCCCCTCTTTCTCCCTTCCCCCAACTCCCCCCCCCCCTCCCACCTACATCCAGCGACCCCTTACGGCTGGCTTCCGCCTTTTCTTTCTGTGCCTCGAAAAAAAGGAAAGAGAGAGATATCAGGATATACAGCATTGTTCCGTACATTTTTGAGCCCTCTTTTCACCCTGTATACTAAAGTACCTTTTTTTTCTCTTTCTGTTCACAGGTTTGTGATGACGAACTTTTACCACCCACGATAGACTTTGCGATGCAACCGCCACAGAACGAACCTGTAAGTCAAGAAAACCAAAGATTGAATCTTGTTTATCGTACCTGAAGTCGGTGGTGGATAGGAAGGGAGAGCTGGAGGGCGTCGGCCTGTCCGCTTGCTCGCCCAGTCCCGATGGACGCCGTGCAGGCTGGGCCGTCCCGCTGCACGGGTCCGCGCGGCGGGCTTGCCTACCTCACAGGCTGTGGGAGTGGGGACGACCGCCGAGCGCGCGCGGTACCACAGAGACAAATAGCTACAGCACCCCACCCCCCTCTCCCTCCCTCCCTTTCTCATTCACCCCTCTCTTTCCCCCTCTTACCCCTCTCTCTACTCCTCTCCCCCTCTCTCTTTTTCTCACTTCTCCCTATCTATCTCACTCCCGCATCTCTCCCTCTCTTACTACCTCTTCCATGCACACGACCCCACAACACGCAAGCGTTAAAAATAAAATGCGATTTGACCGGAACTAGGAGCGTGCGGATAGAAAATTATGAAGCTCTGGCACTGGTGAGTTTTGGCGTTTTCAACCACCCGTTTTTGTGTTTAGTGGTGATGCTCCGCTGCTTCGTGCTTCGCGCGTCTCCCACATGCGGCGCAGCACACTGTATCGTTCTGGCTTCACTAACAGCAGCGTCACTATCATCATGGGCCCCATTTTCATCATAACCGGTAATCGAACCACCCGCCGGAGGAGAAAGGGAGGGGAAATGGGGGGGAGAGAGTTTGGGGGTGGTTATCTAAATCGTAAATCAATTCTCGCTGCTGGCGTGTCTTTGGGCGTCCGCTTCCATTAGTGATTGCTGCTGGCGGTGGAAGGGGCAAGGGAGAGGGGGTGTTGTGGTGAGAGACAGGAGACAAAGAGAGAGTGAGATAGAGAATGGTGGGGGGTTGGGCATCGCGGATGAGGGAGAGAGAGAGAGACGCCATCACCGGCGGGCCGCACTTAGAGCGGCCGGCGGGGCAGCGGGCCCTAATCACCTGTCAACCTGCTAATCAAAGGCCATTACCGGAGCGGCCTCGACCTGGAGCCACCGCGGCCGGGGCGCGGCGGGCTCCTTTACATTGAGGTTGACAAATCTGGAGCCGGCCGAAGCTCGCCGCGCCGCGAAGTTCAGAGACGCGGATGAATGTTTTCTACTCAGCTCTGCTTGGGTCGATTTTTCCCCCAAAACAGTATGTGTCAAACATTTCACACTCTCTGAAATGTCCTCATTTTTCTCTCACATCCACATTCTTTGCCTTTTTGAGTGCGGCATAAAACTCTTCCCGACGACAGGCATGCGACCATCTTGCTCTCTCGCCACATTTTACTCCTGGCGGATATAGCGGTAGAGTGAATGCCTTCTCGCTGTATATATTTCCCGCTATTTATCCGCCCTTAAAGTCTCCCCCTCGTGCACTCCCGCGCGCTGACACAGTCAGCCCGACACACAGACGCGAGCAGCGCGCTGCTGTCACGGCAATAGCGAGACATATGCATAATACATCTGACCCGGAGCCGCGTGCCCGTCGGGGCCGTCGTCGGGGCCGTCCGCCGCGTGGACACCGCGCGCCGCGCGCCGATTTCACGCCCGTCCACGCCACACGGGGCGTGTTCGACCCCCCTCTCTCTCTCTATCTGCCTCTCTAATGCACTATGATACGTCGACATGCGATGGACACGCGACTAGCTTCTCGCATTTGGCTGCATCCCTTATTTAAAGTCCCATCCTCCGGTGCGGCGGTGGCGGTAGAGAGCCCCGCTGCGTTGCTGTCTCTGTCCTGTCGTGTCTTCTCTCTCGCTCGCTTTCTCGCTCTCTCTCGCTCGCTTGCTCGCTCTCTCCCGCTCATGACAGCGTGAGTGGGGGGAGCGGTGGGGTATTCACGGCGCGCTCCACTGCCACACCTGTCTGAGCGCGTTAGCGGGCGGCAGGTGCGCGACCGGCAGCTGCGGCAGCTGGCCAGCTGTCTGGAACAATTATGGGGCAAAGGTGAGGGGGGCGTAAGTGTCATGAGGAGTAGAGTGGATTGTCCTCGAGCGTGCGTGGGAGGGAAGAAGAGAGAGTTAGAGCTATCAGCCACCAAGGCGTTGGCGTGTGTCAGCGGCGGACACGGGCAGGACAACGGTCGGTCGGGGGTGGAGTGTGTGGGGGAGCAGACTACAGTAGTTTCCGCCCCTCCTCCCCCCCCCCCTCATCCTGGAGACAGTCGAAACTCTTAGCCCGCGTCAATGAATATTTCAAAAAGTCTGAGCCGAGCAGCCGAGCCTTGTGCGCCCCGGATACGGGTGAAGGAAAGGGGCCGGGGGAGAGGAGTTTTGTGTTTGCCGGAGAGGGACATGATAGTGACTTGTCGAGGGGAGGGGTAGGACATGGGGAGAGAGAGAGAGAATGAGTTGGCTTGGCTGTCCGGCCCGTGCGGCTCGGTGTCACGGTTGCCCTCCTGTCGTTGCCACAGTGTGGCTCGAGGAGTCCCTGCCCCCCTCCCCCCCCCCCTGGCCCGTGCGGCTCGGTGTCACGGTTGCCCTCCTGTCGTTGCCACAGTGTGGCTCGAGGAGTCCCTGCCCCCCTCCCC